GGGGGTGAATGCAAAGGGAACTTCCTGTCTGCAAAAACTTACTGATGAACATTTTGTGGCTCCAGAAAAAAGATTTTGAGGCAAAATCATCAATTTTTTCATTACTATGTACTAACTAAAGCTATCTAGAATTGCATTGTGATCAGGGAGTGATTTCATGTGGGGCGGGATTTAGAAGTCTCCAGCAGAGCAAGTGATGTCATTTTATACATGCTCACACCCCAAAGTGTGGGGCTCACAGTTTCCCTCATTCTGGTTATCAAGCCTGCCTCCAGATTCCCAACCAATCTGAACTGATAGTTGACGTTTCTTCAGTATCTGCTTGGAGAAAAGGAACCTGTCATTTCTAGCTGGTAAATTAAGCCTGATAAACATAATCCTCCTGCGTCTTAGAAAACCTGACTTTCCTTGAAGCTTCTTAGAGGCTGTGCCAGGGAAAGTTCAGTCTTTATTGGACACAGGGGCATATGGTTGGGAGGAAGGTTTCCGTAGAGTAGTCGTGGTCTCTGCTGAGGCCAGCAGCCCTGTGCGTGCTAGAGGCCCTTTTCTGGAACAGCTTGGGTGCAGGAGACTCTGTTCTTCTTCTCCGGCCACTTCCGGGACCTGAAGCCTGTTGTTCTGGGTCACAGGTACCTAGCCGCTGCCTCCGTTTTTTCCACCACTGCCTCCCCTCGCTGGAGCCTCAGCCGTGGCTTTGTTGTGGAAACACCCCAAAAGCAGGGTCTCTGGGCTTTACAAGGGTAACCCTCCAAAAGTGATGGAGTGTAAATACATGCTGAAATGTGGCCATTTTCAGAAAGGAGAGGATATGTATTTGGAAAAGAGTGGACCTACCCATAAGATATCTAACGTTTGGCCTAATATTTCTTCTCTCTGCCCCTCAGGCATATATATCCTGAGTATTATAACCTCGTTCATGTTCTCATGCAGACATGCTCTTTCCTTGGCAGACAGAGTTGAGCTTTGCAGTCAGACCCGCACTCCTACCCTGCACAGCATTTCATGCTGGTGTTGCTTTATATGGGGGGCTAATTAAAATGGTGATATTTTGAATTTTTTTTTAATGCTTATTTATTTTTGAGAGAGAGACTGATATGGGTGGGGGAGGGGCAGAGCGCGAGGGAGACATAGAATTTGAGGCAGACTCCAGGCTCTGAGCTGTCGGCGCAGAGCCCGATGAGGGGCTCGAACCCACGAACTGGAAGATCATGACCTGAGCCGACGTCGGACACTTAACCGACTGAGCCACTCAGGCGTCCCATCATTCTTTTGACTTTTAAAAAAAAAAAAAAAATTTAAAAATGTAAGGAGCGTTCTTGGCCCAAGGGCTGCCTGCCAGAGTTAGCCCTGGGGTCATTGTTTGCCAGCACCCCTGCTGTAATGGGAGTGTGCAAATGTGGAAAAGGGAAGAAGCCGGGAGAGGGGGCAGGTATTTTTGTTGCCTGTCTGGGGCTACTGCCCTGCACAGACCAAGGAGGTTTCCTGAGCCAACACCTGTAATAAGTGCTCCTCAGGTGGTTTCCGGTAGTGGCCAGGGTTTGCCCTAAGCCACTCCCCCTTCCTGACCACCATTTAGCTGTTAGGCTAATCATCATTGTAACTGGCATCTGGGAACGCTTGATGTTTGGCAAAGCACTTTTTAAAAAAATTTTTTTAAATGTTTGTTTATTTAGAGAGAGAGAGAGAGAGTGTGTGTATGTGTGTGTGTGTGTGTGTGTGTGTGACAGAGAGAGAGAAAGAGCGAGAATGGGGGAGGGAGAGAGGGAGGACAAGAATCCCAAACAGGCTCTGTGCTGTCAGCGTGGAGCCCTAGGTGCGGCTGGAGGTGTGGCTCGATCCCTCAAGTCGTGAGATCGTGACCTGAGCCGAAATCCAGAGTTGGACGCTTGATCGACCGAGCCACCCAGGTGCCCTTGGCAAAGCAGTTTGTAACATCCTTTACCTCTTCTGGTGTCCACAAGGCAGAATGGATCACTCCTTTATCACCAAGAAATGGAGGCTCAGCGGGGTTAGGGGACATGTGCTGGTTTACCCAGTCGGTACCTAGCACTGCTGGTCCTCCGTTCTTCAGCACCATTCCTGAGCCAGCCCATCTCAGATGCAGGGGTGGGGCTGGGAAGGAGTGTCTCTCCAATGCGCATCGCTCAGTGGGGCCGCATGGACATCCCCGCTCTGTCCTCCGCGTCGCCAGCTCCGTTTCTAGCAATGAGACTAAAGCACCTGTAGAGGAGGTTCTGGCCTCCTTCCCGCGCAGCACTGTGAGCCTAGGGCTGACAGGAGGGGGCTTCCCAGACGGCAAGGTGACAGACTGCCCTTGCTTTCCAGGAGGCGAGTTCACCCGCCAGGCCGAGGTGACTTTCGTGGGGCACCCGGGCAAGCTGGTCATCAAGCAGCGGTTCAGCGGCATCGACGAGCACGGACACCTGACCATCACCACGGAGCTGGAGGGCCGCGTGCCGCAGATCCCCTTCGGGTCCTCGGTGCACATCGAGCCCTACACAGAGCTCTACCACTACTCCCCCGGGGGTGAGCAGCCAGCGCCGTGGGGGAGGGGAGTGGGGCTAGGGGGGTGGGGGGCAGTCCCGGCCTCCCGCCCGCCCACCGCTGCAGCCCCAGCACTGTCTCCTGGGCTTCGGAGCAGGAAATAGATGGGTGCTAGCTTATTAAAATCACCTTTTCCCCTAATTACAGGTATAGTACACACTTGTAGAAAATTCGTGCAAAAAAGAGAATAAGCATAATGGTAAAACAATGCCATTATTATTAGATTTAAATGCATTTATTTCCTTTCAGCCTTTTCCCCATATGTGTGTGTGTGTATATATATATATATATATACATACGTATATATTTATATATAAAATACCCCAACATATATATGTAATATCTCAACATAGATCTCATAAGTCTCCGGGGATATAACGTACAGCATGGATATTATATCTGTATGTACTGTATGTATATATGTACATATGTATGTCTCTATATTTTAACCTGTTTTAAATAATTTCAAATGTACAAAAAAAGTTGAAAACAACACAGTTTACATTTGCCATTTATGCACCTTCACCAATTGTTAACATTTTGCTACCTTTACTTTACCATTCCATTGCGCATATGTGTGTGTGTATATATATATATGTATATATATATACGCATGTATATATATACATATATATGAGTATATATATGTATATATATACGCATGTATATACACGTATATATATATACGCATGTATATATATACGTATATATATATACGCGTGTATATATATACACACGTATATATATATATATATATATACGTGTGTATATATATCACAAATTATACATATTTTTTGAGAATAAGTTGTAGTTGTTGTGATCTTCCGTCCCCTAAATAAGTCACCTACTTTTCCTAAGAACAAGAACATTCTCTTATGTGGCTACAGTACAATGATCACACAGTCAGGAAATTTAACATTGATGCATTTCTATTACACATTCTACAGTTGGGTATATAGTTGTTATTTAAGTAAAATTGCAATTATATCACATTATCATATCTTCATTTTCAGTGGGCTTTGAAAACATTGCTTAGTGAGTCTGTACTATTATACGGCTATTACTTTAAACCATTCTATTTTCTTTTTTTTTTAATGTTTATGAATTTTGAGAGCGACCGTGTGTGCACACACACACTAGCACAATGGGGGAGGAGCAGAGAGAGAGGGAGTGAGAGAGAAGCCCAAGCAGGCTCCATGCCGTCAGTGCAGAGCTCAATGCTGGGCTTGATCTCATGAACCGTGAGATCATGACCTGAGCTGAAATCAAGAGCTGAACGCCACCCAGGCGCCCCTAAACAATTGTATTTTCTGAAGTTTAAGCTATTTCCAATTTTCCCATCTTGTAACGAGTTGAAATGACCATCTCCATCGGAAATCTTGACCAAATATCTGATTCTTTTCTAAGATTCAATTCCTAGAAATAGAACTGCTGAGCCAAACAACAGGAACTTTTAGAAGGCTCTTATAAAATTGCCATCCACAAAGGTTGTGCTAATGACCAAGGCTTTGTGGCTTGATTGGGCTCTCCCGGGGATGACAAGAGCTGGGGAACAGGACCCCAGTCTGCGGTCAGCCTGCAACCAGATGGTGTTTCTGGCAGCATAAGCACATGGGAGCTGGACAGGAGGCAGCTTAGACTGATCTTTTATTTATCTTCTGGCTTTTGTTATGAACTACATCAGAGCACACAAATATAAAGAGCCTTTTATTCTTTTTTTTTCTTAAATAGGAAGTTGAGAGTTTCATCATATGGGGGAAAAGGAGGCTCTTCTGAGTGGGGAGGGCTGTCTCTCTTCTCTGTTGAGGTTGGCTCACAGCACTTTAGTAATTTTTCAAAAACTGGTTATTGAAACCCATTTAGTGTCTCATTTTTTATATGGGAGAACTGCTTAATCTAGGGTCACACATAGCAGCCCCTATTTATTGAATCCTAAGTAAGATAACTTGCATGAAGCAGTTAGCGCTCTGCTGGTCACATGGTCAATGCTCCGTAGATGGTAGTTTATCTTAATAGTGGTGGCCCGCTTGAGACCAGAAATTTTACGTGCATTATGTCATTCGCGCCCCAACCCATGTTGTAGAAGAAACCGAGGCTAGAGTTGTAACCGGCCTGTGATCACACACCTTGTGAGTGGTAGTGCAAGGTGTAAGTTCAGATGTATCTGCTTCCCCGCGTGTGCTCTTTCCACCAGACCTTACTCTCTGGGGCGGTTCTGGGTGACTTCAGAACTTCTAAAGAGCACGTGATGAGAAAAAGGAATACATATTGCTGATGCAGACAATCCCAATAATAGTATGGGAATCTAGGTAGCAGAGCGAGTCCCAACACGGAAATACATGGCCTTCTGCAACCTGCTGCATCTGATCTCTCATCTGGGCAGGCAATCTTGCCAATGGTTTTAAAGTCCTTGACTAAGCCTCTTGCCTCCTTTGTCTCCCTGCCTTGTCTCCCTTCTACCCACCGCACCGCACCGCATCCCAGTGATCACATCCTCCTCCACCCGGGAGTACACCGTGATGGAGCCTGAGCAAGATGGCGCTGCCCCTTCCACCATCTACACTTACCAGTGGCGCCAGACCATCACCTTCCAGGAGTGCGCCCACGACACCTCCCGGCCGGCCCTGCCCAACACCCAGCAGCTCTCAGTGGACAGTGTGTTCGTCCTGTACAACCAGGAGGAGAGCATCTTGCGCTATGCGCTAAGCAACTCCATCGGTCCCGTGAAGGGTAGGAATGGCAGCTCAGATTGGGCATCGCGTGTCTGCCCGCACATCTATCTCCGCTCTCTTGTGCATTACTTTTCACGTTTTACTCTCAGTGAGAAGATGAAAATATGCTAAAATATGGCCTGACGAAATAATCTCATCACCTGTGATTCTTAGCTCAGGCGTTTCTGTTCTGCTAACCTAAAGCCTCTTCATTGTTCTGTTTGGGGTGAAGAATGCTAACCCGTTGAGTTACCCCACAGAGCGGACCATCCAAAAGGCTACAGCTGGCTTCAGCAGGGCATTTAGAGCACTCTCATGCTCAGCCTTGAATGGAATGTGTGCTCAGAGCCTGAGGAAATCTGAATAAAGTCTGATGAAAGTCAGGCACAGCGCCTACAATGCCCTTTGCCTGTGACAGCACATTGCTGGGGCTGAGGTCGGGTCTGTGCATGCTTCTGGCTGCGTGGAAGGAGCTGGCATTTGGAGAGCGAGCATGACATCTCGGCGTCAGACTTCACATTATCCGAATCTCCAAGCCCCAGGGGTTCCATATCTTTGGGGTTGGGTGTTAAGGTCTTTCTGTTTGTCGGTTATTTTTGGTGGGGTCCCCCCACACCCGGGTCACTTCTCCAGCTGACCACGTTTGTCCTTCCGTAGCCCCACAAAGGACAAGGAGGGCTGGTGTCTTTCTCCATCCTTTGACAACTGCAGCTCTGGGCATCGGGGTTGGTGCCTTTTTTCTTAAAAATGTGAATATTTTAGGCTTTGCCAGCTATGCGGCATCTGTCACAGGATCTCAGTTCTGTCATTCGAGCGCAAAAGCAGCCATTGACCATTCACAAGTGAATGGATGCAGCTGGTTTCCAATAAAACTTTATTTACAAAAGCAGGCATGGATCTGGAGGGATGTAGTTTGCCGATGCTGCCCCCTGGTGACACAGGAGTCTGGTTTCTTGTTCCAGGACCCACTGCTGTTCTGCTGGTCATCACCTGTGCCTTCCTTTCTGTGGAAGGAGGAAAACCTGCAGGCGTTTCTGAATACTCACTTGGCTTTAATGTCTCTCCTTCACAGACGGCTCCCCCGATGCCCTTCAGAATCCTTGCTACATCGGCACTCATGGGTGCGACACCAACGCGGCCTGTCGCCCCGGCCCCGGGGTTCAGTTCGCCTGCGAGTGTTCCATCGGCTTCCGAGGGGACGGGAGGACCTGCTCTGGTACAGCCGTCCATTCTGACTTGTGGGGGGGCTGGGAAGCGAGCTGGGAGGGGGTATCCAGATCCTGCAAACTGGAGGGCTGGGTGTGGCGAGGGAGCGTGGGTGCGGGAGACGCCGGTGGGCCTGCTGAGCCTGGTTAAGCCCCACACCCTGGGTTTCCCGTGGTCACGTTAGGGGTACCGCCCCTTTCTTCCATCTGGTCCAGTGCACAGACTCCGAGCAGCAGAGTAGAATTTAGAAAGCCGCACCGCACACAGGTTTAAAGGGAAGCTGAAGTCAGCGCTGTTTCTAACATTAATAATGTAACGGTCCCTGTAAGGAACCCAGGCACTGCTGGTGTCCTGTGCCCCGCAAACCCCATCTCATTTCTTCCAGCAGGTCTAGAGATCCATTCTTTCGCTTCTGCCTTTTAAATTTTAAAAAATACTTATTTATTTTTGAGAGAGAGAGAGCATGAGGGGGGAGGGGCCGAGAGAGGGAGACACAGAATCTGAAACGGGCTCCAGTCTCTGAGCTGTCAGCACAGAGCCCAGTGCGGGGCTCGAACTTACGGACTGTGAGATCACGACCTGAGCGCAAGTCGGACGCTCAACTGACTGAGCCACCCGGGCGCCCCTCATTATAATTTAATTTAAAAAAAAAAAAAATTTTTTTTTTTAACATTTATTTATTTTTGAGACAGAGAGAGACAGAGCATGAACTGGGGAGGGTCAGAGAAAGAGGGAGACACAGAATCTGAAACAGGCTCCAGGCTCTGAGCTGTCAGCCCAGAGCCCGACGCGGGGCTTGAACTCACGGACCGCGAGATCATGACCTGAGCTGAAGTCGGCCGCTTAACCGACTGAGCCACCCGGGCGCCCCTCATTATAATTTAATTTTTAATACATGCATGTAGACAGCTGGATCCTGATACGTTCGTGACGTATCAAGTCCAGTAGCAAGGGCCAGTTGGTGGATTCCTGACTCAGTGAAGAGTCCATACAGCAGAGGCAGCTAGTGCCAGGAAGTCAGGTGCTTCAACCAGAGCTCCCAACATCTGTGACACAGGGCTCACTGGTGACCGTAAGGAATGCTAGAAGTAGATTCCCCTAGTGCAGGAGCAGCATACACAAGTGTGTTTGGCCAGAAAGATGAGCAGCCCCCTTGAATGACTCGGGCGTAAGAATCTGGTGAGCCCAGAAGCCCTGAAATTTGGGAACGATGCCTTAGGTCTGGAATCCAACCCTCTGATGAATGGCATGCTTCATGTGCTGATTTAACAGAAAGGGTGACAGAGTGAACTCTATGTGAGGTCCTCGTGGGGGCATCTGAAATCATGGAGAGCAGGACCTGTGCTTAAAAGAACAGACTGTATAGTCGTTTAGCCAGCCTGCTGATAGCTTTGTACATGGGATAGAATTCAATCGGAGGCTCACCTTCCTTGGAACATACCACTGGGAAGGGATCTGATCGCCTCAGATCATCAGTTTTCCAATATGTCCCCAGATAGCCCAACAGTTTTGAATGGCTGAATTGGCTCAGGCGAATTTGAAAAAGCATGGTCCTGTGTGTGTGTGTGTGTGTGTGTGTGTGTGTGTGTGTGTAAGAGAGAGAGGGTGAGAGAGAGCACGAGTGAGCAGAGATCCCCCAGGGCTGTGAAGATGGTGATGGACACCATGCAGGGGGTCCCTCATTTCTTTGGGGGAAGCATATACCTCCTTAGTCTTTACATGGCCCTGTGTCTACTTCATATGCCAACAGAATGTTAATAAAACATGGAGATACCCCAACCCGCTGCTGCTGGGCCATGACATCTGGCTAATTCTTCCACTCTTGGTACCTGAGCTTATTGTAGAAGGAGCACTTAATTCAGTTCACAAGGCACAACCAGCCATACGTTGCGTAATCTATTGCTATCATAGAAAAGTCTCTGATGCAGTCACTCAGGAAGACAGGTGGTCATGTGGGGACTTGCTTTTGTTCTGGGGTTAGCCCTTGCTCTGGCAGATTAGCACCATGGAATGTGGGTAGAATCCCAGTCAGGCTGCTTTTTGTTCTGGGTCACTAGAACATGCCTCACAGTGTTAATGCATGGAGACATGAGGCCGTTGATAGGAAATTGCATTAAGCAAATCACTTCATGCATTATTTTGACCTGCAAAATGACTTAGAAGAGAACGATCCTTTGTAATTCAGTTTGGGTGATGTGGATATAATGATAGTTGGCATCCTGAACAAGCCCGGTGTTGGCGAGACACTGCAGAGTGACCCTCGAAGGTAGTTTGGAGAAGGTCTCCAGATGAAAACACAAGAGCTCGGGTGCCTGGCAGAATGGCTTCCGTGTGTTTCTCGATTGGGAGTCTGTAGAAATGGTTGTGGATAACCTGTCATCTCTTGAGCACACACAAGACACTTAAATCAAAGTGAACAAGTCCCCTCCTCAAAGAGCCTGGCCTTTATAAAAGGGACACATTTAGAGTTGTTGAAAAGACATGAAAAGTAGCCATTCTGAAAAAAACTAAAAAAGGAAGCAGTGATTACAGGAATAGTCCAGCATTTTCCTTTCGGGTTAGAGAATGAGCTGTGTGCGAGGAAATGTCTTCCCAAAGAAGAGTTTGACCAGATAATACAATAAGAAAAATAAACTTTGAACAGATACTGTGAGATTTTAGGAGGGACAGTTATCACCAATGCACTGTTTCCAATAAAGTAAGAATTAAAGTCCTAGCCTCAATTTACAGAAGGGTTTAAATTAGACATTAGGAAGAGTTTCCACACTCTAAGGACTGTGCACTTCTAGTGGGGAAACTGCTAGAGTCTTGCTCTAAAGAAAAAGTGTTACCCTGCTTGGATTATATGTGCAGACTTTTATGGAGGTGTGGATTGTGCCAGGGGACTGTCCCCTCCATCATCCCGTGAGCCCCGCCCCCATCCTGTTGGCCAGTAGCACCTAGGACATGAGGGATTGAGCTCCCTCCTAATCACTTACGTAGCTTTTTTGAAACTCACAGCTGCCCTGCCATAAACCTTCTGGGGGCGAATGGAACTTGGAAAACTTCCCCTAGCGATTTTGTTCTGTCCCTTTGATTGAAAAGCTTTGCTTCTGTGCCGTTGTGCTTTGGCAATCGCGTTGAAGCCGTGGAGTCCTTCAGTCTGTACAGGGCGTCCAGACATCTGTGCTGGGAGTGTCCTCTGAGGGTTACGCATGGAGACTGTGGAAGCCGGAATGATTTTTTTTTTCTCCTGTGTTGTTGGAGCAGCAGCTGGTGGATAGAGTTGTGGAGGCCACGCTTGCTCAATATCCCCGCGCCCGCACCCCAGTCTCATGGAAGAGGCTGCTGGGGGAGGGGGCTTTGTTCCGTGACCTTCCAGCTGTGCCTGGAGCCATCCTCTTGTGTGAGACCTTGTATCTTAATCGTGTCGCAGGAACGTTCATTGCAGTATATTTTCAAAAAGCTGTTACTGTTTGTTTTGGGGTTTTGCGTGGGTACGGGAATGGTGTGGCAAAGATGCTTATCTTGTGCCACGTCCACTAGGCCAGCGGGGCATTTGTTTTACCAGTGAAGAGACTGACTAGGTGGTGGATGCATGAGGCTTTGTCTCCCAAGTGTGAAAGATTCACCTTAAGGCATTGGGGGGGTGGGGGGGGAGAGTGGTGGGGGAGGGGGTGGAGGAGACTTGTCTGTTCTCAGCCATCATGAAATCTGTCTATGTGTCTGAGTTCTAGAAATGCTGGAAGTAACCGTGTACCCTCTGAGAATGAGGTTGGCATGGGAAAGACCTTGTGTGATTGTGTTTATTTCAACCCATCAGTGGACAGGTAACCAGGGTCCTGACAGGTTAGCTCGGTTTCTTGTCCGGGCCAACCAGGCTTCCTGTGGGATTAGCTCTAGATTGGACCCCGATGCCTAGAGGTCATGCGAGGGCCATGTTCCTAGAATTGGCCAAATCCATCCCCATGGCTGGTTGTATAAGTTGAATCCTTAAAAATTAGAATAATAGCTACATTTCTTGAGAATCCTAGGTGGTGCTGCTCCGCCTTATATCCATTTTGTGTCATCCTCAGAAGGACCCCTCAAGGTCAATAGTACTTTGCTTATTTACTAATGGGGAAGCTAAGGCTGACTAGTCAGCCACTTGCCCAAGAGCACACAAGCTGGTAACTGAAGGAGGCAGGATTTGAACCCCAGTATGTCCAGCTCCAAAGCATATGCTTTTTTGGTTCTACTTTACCCCATGTGATGGCTTTGGTATCATCATGCAAGAGGACATCACCCGGCTAGTTCATTTACAACCTTGTGAGTTAACAGCTTTCCTTTTAGAGCATTAAGCTCTAGGTAACATTCAAAAATTGACAGTCAGGCTTTACATTGTTCGACTTTGCTTTGTAACCGTAACTGGAGAAAGGTAATATTTTTGAGGAGCATATATTTACATATGTTCAGTAACCTAGGAGGCTTACTCATGGTCTGGATACTTGTCCGCACAGCTTTCTGACATGTGTGTACCGTTCTGGTGTTGGTGAACTCCAGGCTCAGCAGCTAATCCCAGGACAGGCACGGGAAGCCCACGTTTACAGCAGGAGGACCTTGAGATCTCTCTCGAAAGTTATGCCCAGGAAAAAAAACCACTATTTACTAACGCTACTTTTGGAATATAGAACAGTTTGTTTCAAAATTGATCCCTTCAAGGGCCAAAATGCTTTCTATTTTATTATACCTGGTGATATTTGAAGAAGTGGTTTTTAAAAGTCTGCCTGTTGAAAAAATTTGTTGTAGATATCGATGAATGTTCAGAACAGCCCTCGGTGTGTGGGAGCCACGCGATCTGCAATAACCACCCCGGAACCTTCCGCTGCGAGTGTGTGGAAGGCTATCAGTTTTCAGAGGAGGGGACGTGTGTGGGTAAGTTCTGTAGATAACTTTCCAAAACGTTTGTTCATACGGCGAAGGTGTTGCCCCAGGTAATTGTCCTGGCTGGGTTGGCGAGTGTTGGCTTCTGTTGTTGACGGAAGCAGTTTTCAAAGATGAATCAGACTTCATTCCCTACCCCCAACTACCCAGAGGGTCGTACGTATAATGAATAAGCAGTGTTATTGTCTCCTTTGATAAGCTTTTTTGCACTACTTTCCTTCTTATAAATTTCCTTTTAATTCTTTTCATTGTTTTAATACCTGTTAAAACAATTACACTTGTTTCTTCATTTGTTTTTTGTGTATTAAGTTTAGTTATTTTTGAGAGAGAGACAGAGAGGCAGAGAGAGAATCCCAAGCAGGCTCCATACTGACAAGTGCCCAGTGCAGGGCTTGAACTCATGAACTGTGAGATAATGATCTGAGCTGCAACCAAGAGTTGGACGCTGAACCAGCTGAGCCACCCAGGCATCCCATAATCAGTGGTCTTGAAATTCATATGGAGGGAGCACCTGACAGATGCTTTAGATTGAATTTTTCATGATTTACCTCTGAAATTCAGGGGCACCTGGGTGGCTCAGTCAGTTCAGCGTCTGACTTCAGCTCAGGTCATGTTCTCGCAGTTTGTGGATTCGAGCCCTGTGTCGGGCTCTGTGCTGACAGCTCAGAGCCTGGAGCCCGCTTCGGATTCTGTGTCTCCCTCTCTCTCTGCCCCTCCCCCACTCATGCTCTGTCTCCCCCTCTCTCTCTCAAAATAAATAAACGTTAAAAAAAATTAATAAAAATAAAATAAAATTCCATTTGGGACCATTCTGTGCATGGCTTTCGAATTTATAAGCCACAAGTAGTAGCCTCGTCAAAGCGAGTGACTTAAAGCTATTAATTGGGCTAATAATGCTTTAGGTTGGTGATGATTTTAGTCGTGATGGAGACAGGCCAACCACAAAGACCCAGATTATTTAGATTTCTTCACTTTTTTTTTCCTACTGCCGCACTTTGACCTGTTGGTTCCAAGAATTTTAAGTTCAAAGATTTGTGGCGATTTCCAGGGCTGGAGGGCAGCATGCTGAATGGACCATCTGAACTCAACATTTCTTCCCACCTTAAAACAGATTCTTCTTTTACGGCATCAGTGAACCGTCTCATCGCCCCTTCCTTGCTGTTCACTAAACCCTAACGTGCTTTCTGTTTGCTCTGTCTTGAAGCTCAGATGAGACTCCAAGGTCCCAGGGCGAGGTGATGTCTCGAGGGCAGGAGGGAACAGGCAGTTCTCAAATTTTGAATGTGACCCAAACATCTGTGGATTTAGAAAAGCCGGTCCCCTTCGCACAGAGTGAAGGTTTCAGCTCCGCTGCTAGGTTACTTCTTTTTCTTGTTCGATAGAGAACAACCATTTCTGTGTATTTGGCTTGACTTTCATGCTTTTTGAGATGAAGGCGATTCAAAGGTTTATTTTCTTTTTTAAAAAAATGTTTGTTTATGAGAGAGAGAGAGAGGGAGAGAGAGAGAGAGAGAGAGAGAGAGAGAGAGAGAGAGAATCCAAACCAGGCTTCACGCTGTCCATGCAGACAATGCAGGGCTCAAACCCATGAACTGTGAGATCGTGACCTGAGCCGAAATCCAGTCGGACAGTTAACCGACTGAGCCACCCAGGCGCCCCTCCAAGGTTTACTTCTCACGACAGCACCGTTTACATTACATTTGGGCTCAGACTTGGGTGGTGGAGTGTGCAGTCATGGGGCCAATGGCTGTGAGGCGTGATGTCGTGGGTTTCTGTGCCAGACCATTCCTGCCATGCACACTCACTGGAGGATAGGGCAGGGTGCAAGGCAGGTGGGGTGCAAATGTCTACTCCTAAGGCATCAGATTTTGAGGAAGACACTTAATGTCTCTGGGCGTCCACTCCTCAGACTGGATGCTGGGTTCACTGGAGCCCTTGGAGCCCTTGAAGAAGCCTCAGGAGCTGCCAGTGAGGACACAGGGAAGCCTGGGCAGATTTGGCTTCCACCCCAACCTCCAGCCTTTGATTTCTCTACATATCAGAATCTGGGCGAGATTTTGTTTGAATGGTGGATCCCATTGCTTGGAAACAAATGTGAAAACCACCTGAAGATCACTGTGCTCCACGGGTCCCAGCATTGTGAGGTTTCCTGACTCTCCCACTGCCTGGAGGCCCCACACGATTCCATCCCACTTGGCTCTTAACCCCTCTTACTCAGCTCCTTTGAGACTCACTGCATGGAGGGATGGCTCAGGGGGTAAAACCAGGTCTGCCTAAACGCACTCAAACAAATCACTCCGGCTCATCACTGCATAATTTCATGGCCATTTCACCTTTCCCAGAATTCCTCATGAAAACTGTGTCCTGGGTTGGAAGCCTGGGTTGGGAATAAGGAATAAGCAGTGTTTTCTCCTGGTCACAGGAAGAGTTTTCTCCTGGTCACAGCAAGGAAGGAAGAGAAAAGAATTTGGACAGGTTAGGAGGCTGGTCCTGTGCCCTGCCAGCTGTGAGGGGTTGGGGCCCATGCCCGGTGGATATGAGCTGGCGGGAGGAAATGAACTTTTCATGAGGACTGGCATCCATTATGGGAGGGGCAGCTTCGTGGACTTCCGTGTTTGGCATTTTCTGTAAACCTTTGACTTTCTCTCGTCCACGGCATGCAGACTTTTGCAGTGAATTAGAATACGGGGCGCCTGGGTGGCTCATTCGGTTCAGCGTCCGACTTCGGCTCAGGTCACGACGTTGCAGTGTGTGGGTTCGAGCCCCACGTCAGGCTCTGTGCTGACAGCTCAGAGCCTGGAGCCTGCTTCCGATTCTGTGTCTCCCTCTCTCTCTGCCCCTCCCCCACTCACACTCTCTCTGTCTCTCAAAAATAAACGTTTAAAAAATTAAAAAAGAGAAAAAGAATGTGCAGAGTATGTTCACACGAAAGAAACAGCCCATAAATCACCTTGACATGAAGACACAGATGCCCCCTCTGAGTGGCCACGGTTCTAGGATAGGTGGCTTTGCGTGTGGAACGTGGGGACACTTGAGGTTCTGTTGACCCCTTGCGTGGGTTTCTTTGCCCAGTGCATGGCCCCGTGCACCTGCCCCTCCTTCAGGGCAGGAAGAGGGCCAGGCTGAGGCTTAGGCTTAACCTTCCCTCACCCATCGTTCTCCCTTGCCTTTCCCCTCTCTTCCTTTGCCCATCTCCTCTCTCCTTGCCTGTCATATTGCTAGGAAAAGTTATTATAAATCCTTCATTTTTGTGACCTTATTTTCAGAACTGGAAGTAACTGGAGGCTGTGTGAAGCCACCCCACTTGGAGCTCTTTTATACCCTGCCCTTTGTTCTCCTTTGAACACATGACTTCTTTCCCTTAGTTGTCCTTCCCTCCCTTGCTGGCATCTTCTTCCTTCTCTCTCGTTGCCTCATTTCCAGCCTGAGCCAGCCTGCAGGTGTCTCCAGGGGGGAGCGGGGGGGGGGGG